TTTAAGACCAAGTCTTGCTTTGTCGCCCAGGCTGGAGTGCAGTGGCATGATCTTGGCTCACAGCAACCTCTACTTCCTGGGTTCAAGCCATTCTCTTGCCTCAGCCTCCCAGGTAGCTGAGATTACAGTCGCCCACCACCATGCCTGGCTAATTTTTGTATTTTTAGTAAAGATGGGGTTTCACCATGTTGGCCAGGCTGGTCCTGAACTTCTCACCTTAGGTTATCTGCCCGCCTCAGCCTCCCGAAGTGCTGAGATTACAGGCGTGAGCTACATCGCCTGGCTTCTCAGGCTAGTTTCAAGCCTATTTTACACCACTCTACCATCCTTAGCTTATTTTTGAAAAAGCATTTTTAAAAAAAATTTATGAAAAAGTTATTTTTGTTTTATTTAGTTGCCCTAGGATGGAACACAAATGTTTGCTTTAGTTTTAAGGGTCCTATAAAACTCCCATTTACCCCAAGGATCTGTATTTAATGGGCATTCAATTCTAAGGCAGCAAATGTGTAGAGTTATTGGTGGGGGTAGGGAATGAGTACTGTAGATGGAGAGTGAGGGAGGTGGGGCAGGATTTTGAGAAAGCAGCAGTGGGGTGAAGAAAGTGATAGGCAAGGGAAGATGGTAGAGATAGGTACCAAAGGAGTCCTGGTGGCCTAAAATCTAATCACAGAAGTTACTCAACAGGGACTGATGCCTTAAAGAAAACTTGTGTGTGATTATAACAATGATCTACTAGAAGGGCCATTGTTTGAATACACAGAAATAATCTGAAAGGCAGATTGTCATCCACCGATCTCTCAGCTTTCTTTGGAGTTGAAGCCCTCCTGTTGGCCTCTCCCATCACGGGGGTGAGAATTGATTTTTGAGGACAGACCCTTTAGATCTGATATGTCTTTGCATGTCTAACCTTCCTACCCCAGTGTCTCAAGATTTTGGTAAATTGGAAAATAAGAGTTCATTCATCTATTGGTAGACATTTGTAGAAAAGGGTCTCTGGACATCTGGAGAAGAAGAAAACTCTCTTATGGTCTAGTGCTACTCTTGTTCTTAATGAACTTGTTCATTAACTTACTAGCTTTGTTCCTGATTCTTGCTCTATTCCTCTTTTTCATTTTGAGTGATGGTTGGATGGAGGGTTAATCAGTATGGATAGCAGCCAGAAATCTAACCAAGATCAGGTAGGTGGGAAGTCCAGCAATGTTATTGGAATCCAGTTTAAGTGTTTCTTGTTTATTAACAATAAGAATTCATATCTCAGATTTTTGGAGGCTGGGAAGTTCAAGATCAAGATGCTGGCCAATTTGGTTCCCTAGTGGAGGCTCTCTTCCTGACTGGTAGATGACAGCCTTCTTGCTGTGTTCTCACATGACAGAGAGGAAGCAAAGTCTATGGTATCTCCTCTTATAAGGGTTCCAGTCACATCATGAGGGCCCTATCCTCATAAATACATCTTAACCCGATTATCACCCAAAGACCCCATCTCTAAATACCATTACATTGGAGGTTATAGCTTCAGTATACAAATTAGGGGCGGTGGGCAGGGAGACACAGTTCAGCCCATAGCGTAACCCAAATTATGTACACCTAAAATATTCTCTAGAATTAGAGGACTCATTTAACACTTAGAAATAGTAGAATGATATAATTACAGTGGTGTTTTAAGATCTGTCTAGTGATGGTATGTTATAAAATTTGAAGGACAGAGAAAAGAGACAACAATTTAGGGTCTAGTACAAGTGTACAAAAATGAAGTAACCAGTGGACCTAAACCTAGGAGGTGGGGCCTGGGCTGGGGCCATTAGTAGGAATGGATGTGAAAGGTAAAATTAGCAATGCTCTAAAAGTTATTTAGAATGGCTTAGAAGGTACTTTGACATTTTCTGGGAGGTAGAGAAGGTTTGAACAGGTTTAAAAAATAGAGAGTGAAAAAATGAATCTAATGAGACTTTTAATTCCCAGAGACTAAGCAGTTAAGAGCAATAACATCAGAAATAGGTGTGCACTAAGTCACTTTTAGCAGCAAGAGGACAAAACCAGAATTCAGGAATTAGGCATTTTAGTGCTCACTCTGTCTACAAACCCTTCATATAACTTTAGTAAGTCATAAATGTTTTGGGGCTTTAAAAATTAATCTTCAGATTGGCCGGGCACGGTGGCTCACACCTGTAATTCAGCACTTTGGGAGGCCGAGGTGGGTGGATCATGAGGTCAGGAGTTTGAGATCAGCCTGGCTAACATGGTGAAACCTCGTCTCTCCTAAAAATATAGAAATTAGCCGGGCATGATGGCACACCTGTAATATCAGCTATTCAGGATGCTGAGGCAGGATAATCGCTTGAACCCAGGAGGCTGAGGTTGCAGTGAGCCAAGATCATGCCACTGCACTTCAGCCTGGGTGACACAGCAAGACTCCATCTTGAAAAGAAAAATAATAATAAAAAATTAATATTCGGATAAATTTAACATCCATGCCAGAGTATCGTCTCATTTTTTAGAATATTGGAAAATATTAATAATTTT